CCCCATCTTATTACCTCTGCTCTACCTAGACCTGTTTCCTGTCCATGGATTATTTAACAAATTTATTCAATGTTTAGGCAGGGCACAGAGCACAGTCCTGTGAGACGCGCCACAGGGGGCCCTGCTATCAAGGAGTCCGCAGTCTAGTGGAGCAGGGAAACAATAATCAGGCAACTACAAGACATTGTCCTGACAACTGTGATGCCAGAAGTCACAGGTGCTGGGGAAGTGTGAAGAAAGGCTTCTAACTCAGGCTTGGGATGCCTACAAAGGCTTCCCAGAGGAGGGGACATCAAACCGAAAGGGAAAAGCATGCACAAAGGCCCAGACAAGAGAGGAGAGGCAGGTTAGGGGACAGGAACATGGTTCGGTTTGGTTGGGCCATAGTGTGTGTGCATGCGTGTGTGTATGCGTGTGTACATATGTTTGTACGTGCACACTTGCATGTTGGAGTAGGAGAGAACAGAGAGGTGAGCTTAGAGAGGTGGCCATGGATTGGCTCATGCAGAGCAGATGGGCCAAACAGGACTCTGGGTGTTAGACAGAGAGGAGTGGGAGCCCATTAGAGGGGTTTTAAGCAGGGAAGGGACATGATCACTGAAACTCCCACCCTTACATACACTGGGAAGTGGGCTTATATCCTGGCACCACCGTATTAAAGAGCCATTTAGCAATGTCTAGGAAAGTTGAAGATCTGTGTATTCTTGACCCAGCAACTCCATTTCTTGATTTCTACCCAAAGAAACATGTGTGAGGATATTCACCTCAGTACCATTTGTAATAGTGAAAAAGTAGAAACGACCTAACCAGTTAGTTATCTGTAGGGGAGCAGCTCTGTAAACTTCAGTTCACTTGTGCAATGAAATACTTCATGATGGTTAAAGGAATGAACTGTATCTCCACGTGTCAAGGACAAACCTGAAAAACAATGAGCAGTGGGGGGAGAAGGGCAATTTGCAAAAGGATATGAACCTATGTATATGCATAATACCAACCAAAATACCATATGGTTTGTGGAGCATCAGTAGAAAAGGTAGAAAACACACTTGGGAATAAATCGCTTCAACTTTCGGATGTTTACTCTGTGGAGGGAGGGTTAAGGGATAAGGTAGGAAATTGGCTACAATTATGTTATATTTCTGTAAAAGACAGAACTGAAGCAAATATGATGCTATGTTAATATGCTGTGTCCTGGTGGGGGTGCTGTGACCCGGAGCAGGGGAGGACCCAGTAGAGTGGGTGTAAATGAATGACACTCAGATGGTAGGGTCAACACAACTCTGACTGCTGAGGCGTCTTCCTTCCTTCTCTTCTCTCTCTCTTGGGTTCCTCATCAGAGTTCCACCTCCAAGGAGGCTTCTCCAACTACTCCAGTCCTCTAAGATCCTTCTTTTCTCATATGCTATGGCCCTCGCAGTATCGGTTCTTCCTGGAGTCATATCATGCAACGATGCCTGAACTTGTGGTGTCTGAATGTCTCATCTCTTCAGTAAAACCATATGCTTGTGCAGGGCAAGAATCCTCTCTCAGGCTCTTGGCCTGTGTCCCTCCAGGCATGTCATTGTGGCTAATTGCTATATCCTGGTGTTTCACATAATGCTAGAGAGAAATTCTAGTTGGTGCAGGTGAAATTCTAGTTGAACAAATAAATATATAGATAAATGGATGACTAAATGAGCTCCAGAAAGAATTATTGAGGAAATGCAGAGAGGCAATGTGGCAGCCCTGAATACGAACTATAACTTTGCCATTAGCAAGTAGTAACCTCGGGGAAGTCACCTCACCCCTCTCAATCTGTTTTCTTAGCTATAAAATGGAGAGAACACCCTTTTTTTTAAATCTTCACCCGAGGATATTTTTCCCATTGCTTTTTCAGAGAGAGGGGAAGGGAGAGAGAGGCAGAGATAGAAGCATTGATGTGAGAGACACATCAGTCAGTTGCCTTCTACAGGCACTCCAACCAAGGCCAGGGATTGAGCTTGCAACTGAGGTACATGTCCTTGGCTGCAACAGAACCTGGGACCCGTCAGTCTGTGGGCCAATGCTCTAACCACTGAGCCAAACAGGCTAGGGCAAGAACACCCATTTTTTATGAGTAATACTTATGAATATTATATATTGCTTATGTACACCTATAGATATTATATATTATGGAGATTATATCCATTATATATCTCTAAGATCACTATTATTTTCTCACCAATCAATTTATGTTTCATAGAACTTTCCTTATTCCAAGCCCAGAAAGTGTGACTTTTAATACCAGGTGACCCAGTCCCTTCTGCAGACAACTGATGGAGCCTGGTGCCCCTCTGACCCAAGCTGAGACATCTCTCCCAGGAATCTGGAATACAGAGACCTAGTCAATTGACAGGCAGTCATCAAACATTTGATGAACAGCCTACTCTAACCATGCCCTGAGCTTGTACAGTGTGCATTCCAGCGTGTTACAATGCAAGATAAGAGTCTGGGGAGTTGGGATTGGGGGTGAGAGGAGAAATAGGACACTGTCCCTCTCTCCTGCCTTGTATCACAGCCTGCCTTGTAGGGCCTTTGTAGACAAGCCTTCTCTCTCTTACAAGGTCAAGGCTAACTTGCTCTGCCTTCCCCATAGCACTTAGCTTAGTGCCTGGCACTGAGAAAGTGCTCAGGTAACATGGGTTCAACTGAGCTGTGTTAGATTGGAATGGAAATGGACCAGGACTCATGAGAGAAAGAGAAAGCAAGCTGGCTGAGTGCAGAGGAAGCCAAATCATGAGAGGCATGTTTTAAGCAATTACAGATGTTTAACTTATTGCAGAAAAGGCTTGTGGGCAACAAAAAAGAAAAGGGACCTGATGTTCTGTGGGTAGGAGTTACGGAGAAGCAGGTGTGGCTTCATACCAGGAAAATCTTTCTGTTGGAACTGCTCATAGACATACTGGGTTGTTTTACAAGGTTCTCTGTTTAGAGAGGTGTTCAAGCAGAGACTGGGTGCCACTTAGCTGTTACTCAGGCACTGTACGTGGGACTTGGACTAGATGAGCTGCAAAATTCCTTTCCACTGGGAGTGTCTAAATTTATGCTCTATTTGCTGGTGTGCCCTAGATGAAATTGTTAGAGTTCTAGTTACTAACGCGACCTCTCCGAAACCCTGGCCATGTGTTCTGAAATAAATATTAGACAAAGAGCATTCATGGGGTAACTGTTAGGATTTATAATTTCAGCTTTTATTATACAGTTTTATTAATGTTGGATAAAGTTTTAAGAAAAGTTTTTTTGCCCTAAAAAATGTTAATTGGCTGCCTGTCAGCTTCAAAAGAAGAAAAATTGCTAACAAGGAAATTATGTAGGTACAATGTTAATCTAGAAGCGGAAAGAAAAAGCAAAGTTCCAGCAGAGGACACGACATGTGCTCAGCACATGCACGTATCCTGCCCTCTCTCTTCTTACAGTGTGCCCGAAGTCAGCAAGAGGGCAAAATCATGATGAAGGCCAGCCA